TTTAACAGTCTGTTAAAATCTCCTGAGTTTTTATTCAATGGAACAGGAATGAATCCCTAAATCTTCCAAATGTGAATAAAAATACTTTAAATGACTTTTTTTTCTGGCAATCTCTATGCCATGGCTGAATTATTTAAACATTTATTTGATCCTGGGGAAGCAAGCAAAACAGAAAAATTCCAAAAATAATATTTCTTTTCACTAATTCCTTTAGAAAATTTTTTCCTTTAACTTTTTTGTGCATCTAAACATCATATTTGTAATGTGGATGCTTTATTATTCCATGACATAGACTTCACTTTGATATCAAGGTTAAATTTCTCTAGACATGACAGATGCCTGCAGAGACCACAAGTGATAAAGGTGGATAGCAAGTGCTCATTTATTGTAACAGTGTAAATAATAGGTGATTTAAAAGATTAAGTTGACTTTTTAAATGAGGATATTCCAGATTGAATACTTGGCAAAGAAATAAATGTTAAATATTTTTCTATATATTTCAAGGTGTCTCATAAACTGGTGTTCCAAGGGCTGGTTCCAAGGGTATTCTTTTTGGCTGGATATTAAATAGGAGCGCTGTCCCAAAATATCTCTGTGTTCACAAATATATAAAAATATTTGAGTGAAAGGTAACAGAATGGTTCTTCTTCCAGAATCTTATGCTTTAATATCCATTATAAATAACTGAGAAAAGGATATATTATGACATTTTTAACAACTTGTTTTATCACAATTTATTTGTTTGTTAACATACCTAACAGCATCTTTCAAACATTGTTCAGATAAATACCACACTAGGAAAGTGCTTACCAAGTATGTCTGGCTAGCCTCACAACAAACCATGCAAGGATACACCTGCTGGTCTGAGTTGACTCAAAGACTCATTGTGTTACAGGGTGCAGCCAAGAGGGGGGACCCCAAATGGGCATTTAAAATGGGGTCCAGAACTCAAGGTGTCCAGGAGAGTTTTAGCTGCCCTCACTCCCACTCCCCAGGTGTGGGTTGGGGGAAGGGACAAGTGGAGCAGGGCCTTTCAGAGCTGATTTGCATAGCAACAGCCTTGTAGCTAACCTCTAGCATGGTCATTTAACATATCTATAGCCTTTGGCTGGTCGCTTAGATATGTTAAATAGCTGTGGCCTTGCTCTGAGCCAGGGGAATGGAAGTAACTACCCCACCAAGATGTAACTGGAGGGCAGGTCGCCTGAGTTAACAGTGCCTGCATGGGAGCTCAGAGAAGATTGGCTCCATGACATGGGGTCACACCTGCCCAGACCCACAATGGCAACCAGTAAAGCTGGAAGGATATAAGTTCTGGCATGTGAAGCCGAGTGTGGGAGGAGTTGGAAACGGGGCTGCAGAGGAAGACTGGCACGGGGATTTAAACCCAAAGGCGGCAGCTATTGAGAGGGAGAACCATGGGGCTGTGGAAGTGCAGAGAGGATCACAGCTATTGAGGAGAGAGAACCACTTGTCTTTAGCAGAGTGGAGACTCCCGCATCACTGTGAGAGAGAATCACCATGAGGCTTTAGATGAGAACCACCACTCAGCTTTGGCAGAGTGGCGACATCCCCCTGTTGCAGCCATTGTGCAGAGGGAGAAGTACTCGGTTTTGGCTGAGTGAGGACTCCCATGGCCCTGGGAGAGAGGACCACGTGCCTTTGCCAGAGTAGGGGCCCCCGCAGCTTTAGAAGGGGGAACCACCACCTGGCTTTAGCAGAGATCCCAGCGACTCAGCTGAGGGTGCCAAGAACCCAGGGAGGTCTCCCAGTCGAGTTAGAGTGGTAACTGGGAATAACCAGAGGACTGCCTGAGCCATGGATTTCTATTTCCTTTCCTGAGATACAGTACCCTGGACTGGGCAAAGGGGGGAAGAAGGACTGTGTGTGTTTGTGGGTGTTTTAAGGGACTTTGGGATTTGGGTCAAGACATTAGTTCACTACTTTAAGTCTGTATAGCATTAAATAAACATTTCCTTTCCTTTTCATGAATCTCTGGCATTGAGAGATGTCTTTCCTCTGGCGGCGGACGTAACGGACCTGGGGGCTTCTTTCAGTAATAATATACCGTCCCAAGGCCCCCCCTTGTTTGTTCTGTAACAATTGAGCACCTGCTGGACAAACAACACTTGGCAGGAGACTGAGGGTATAAGAAGTGGGGTGAAATGATGACTTCCCTTTAGAAATCCTAAGTCAAAGGAACAGTCAAGTCAGTGCCGTTGGAACAATAGAATAAGTGAAATGGGGGAGCAGAGAGGAGAGTCTTACTTGCTTGGGTGTAGAATTGGAGGTATATTCCTGAGTCAAAGCATAAAACAATGAAATGCTCTATCAATTCTAGTAGTATGTTACCTAGAATTAGCCATGTAAACATATTTCCACATGTTGGCTGTCATTCCTGAAGATGACACTTCAAAATACCTGACTCCCCTCTGCTGTGTTTCACGTACCTCAAATCCTAAGAAGTTCAGTTTATTGATTTCTTCCAGTCTATAACTTTCTAGTTATTTCTGCCATGGTATATTGATATTGCTTATTTAGTTTAAAGAAGAAAAGAAAACTCATTAAAATTTTTAGAACATTTAATATATTTTAAGCAATTCACCCTGAAAAGATATAGTTTGTAGCCCAACAGAATATTTTTTTTACTTTTTTACTCAATTTATTGGGGTGATGTTACTTAATAAAATTATATAGTTTTCAGGCATACAATTGTATAATATATCATCCGTATATTATATTGTGTATTCATTCCCTTAGATCAAGTCTCCTTCTATCACAATTTATCTCCCTTTTACCCTCTTCTACCTCCCTCAACAAAATATTTTTCAAAAGTTTGAATCTGAAGTTTAGTATTAGAAGGATAATTTTGGATTAAATTTTATCTTTTCCATGTTTTTTTTTCATGTTAACTTGAAATATTGGAACCTCAAAATAGATATATTCCATTCTATAAGCTTCCAAGTTGGTCCATACATAGATTCATAATGTCACATGCCTGTCCTCCCTCCATGTGGAAGTCTGCTATATCCAGTCATCACCTGAACATGGGCAAATCTTTAGTTCCCCTGCTTTGTCCTTGTGCCTGGAAAGGGGTCCGGGCAGTTTCTCCACACAAATGAACCCAAATAAAAACTCTTCAAAAGACTGCTTTTAATGGTGCTTACCCAGTTTTGCCAACCTTCTCTACAAAAATATGATTCTAATACTCAGAGACTAGAATCCATCAGCTTGGTATACTTCCAGAGGTGCTTCTGTATAACACATAAGAATACAACTAGAATTTTGTGGACTATCTCAAAAGAATTTGTGGAGGATGATTTAACCCACATCTTTTTTTGAGGATACTATCAGATTTCTAAATATTAGTATTTTGGTATGAATCTGTTTGAAAATTCAAGAATTTAAGAAATGACATCTTAACTTCTGTACCTTAACATTCTGCTCCAAAGCCCCTACCTCAGGAGGTTAAACTCATTTTTACCAGGAGCCACATCAGCCTCATGATTGCCTTCAAAGGGCCAAATGTAATTTCAACTCCTTAACAGTTAAGGGGTAGTTACATTTATACTGTCCTAGAATTATTTCAGCCCTTTGAAGGTAACCACAAGGCTGATGTGGCCCCTGGTGAAAATGAGTTTGACACCCTTGCCTTATCTTATCAGACTGGAAAAAAAATGGAACTTTGGTCTTTCTTCTTGCTTCACCTCTGAGTCATTTACAGACTACCAGGACAGTCAAAGAAGAAAGTCTCAGTGGTTTCTCTGTCACCAACCACACAGTGTACTGTTAAGAGGCCATTTACTTAGTTTTTATGGTCTCTTTAAGGCCAATAGCTCTTGAGATATGATGACCTAAGCTTTGTCTTCTAAAGAAACTGGGTCATTCTGAAGACACAATTAAATTCTGTCTTCATAAATTTCAATATAAAGGAAATGCTCCTTCATCACATCCTTAGCAAGAATTTATGTTCACTGATTAACTGAGCTCCCTGCCTGCTGTCCTTTGTCCTTTGACCACAATCAACCCCTTTCACCCTCATCCCTGTCCACTCAGATTTTGGATGATGGCCAGTAAAGCAGTGTAAAACATATTAATTGGCATATTTTAGAATAAATGTCCATATACTCAAAGGGAAATTATGCCTTTGAACAGCATTCAATGTTTGTAAGGATATTTCTTGGTAGCTTTTCAAAAAGAAATGTATTTTATCTAGAAACTTTGGTTGTCTTTACTATGGGTAGCTCAACCATCCTTAATACAGTATATTGAATCCACTCCACAAGAAATAGAAGTCTTCTCTTTCTTTTCTTGTAAAATAATGTCCCTCACTTCTTTCAAATTTTTCTTTAAGTTTGTCTCTTTTAGATTTTCCTTTTTATCATCCTTTGAAAATGTTAACTGTATTAAATCGAGTGGTTTATGTCATTTCTCCAACTTTTGTCACTCAACTTTCCAATTTCTTATGTTTGACACATTTTTTTAAAGATTGATACTGGTCAATTGTATGCAAATACTCTTTTGTCATGTGTTTAAGCTTCTTGTTTTGGCCTGAGAACTTGTCAGAGTTTTAGTTCCTATAGCAAAATATGTGTTTCTCTATTTCCCTTCTCTCTTCTCTCCCCTCTTGCTGTCCTTCTTCATTTTTAGTTAGCATTCTTCATTCCCTTACCTTGTTCAATATTTTCTTTTTTTAACTACTTATAATCTTCTGATATGTTATGCATTATTCTTAATTATTATGTCTGTTGCCTACAAATCTATTTTCCCCTGTAGAAGATTACTTCTACAATGCTGTGGATCTAATCTGCTCAGTACATAATGTAACTCAAATAGTGCCTGGCCTAGAGTAGGCGCTCAATAAATACTTGTTGAATGAATAAATGACATATAACATTTGCACTAACAAATAGCAGGAAGAAAAATCAAACTTCATGGTTTACTTTCATCAAATGGTTTCATGTATTCTTAACCCATGATATTTAATTTTATGCTTCCAGATATCAACATGGCAGGAGAACCCAAACCCTACAGACCAAAACCTGGAAACAAGAGGCCCCTTTCTGCACTTTATAGGTGAGTCAGTAAGTACTATGTTTCAATATGTAGTAGTGAAAATGTTGACCAACTTTAAAAGGCAATACATATAACCCATAAGGAATCAAAACAGGAAAAATCTTTACTGGCATAAAGTACAACAAAATTCTGGTGGTCAACACAAATATATCACACAGCATTGACTAGGATCTTGGATGCCTAAACTTCTCATCACTTAAACTTCTACAAGATATTTTATTAATAAAATCTAATACAAATCTCCCATGACTACCTGACAAGTACAAAGGTCAGCATTTGTTGACTATCACATGTCTGTACTGTAGTTTCACACAAGTTGTTCACAGCAATGCTGTATTGGAGATATTGCAACTTTCATCTTAGAGATTAAGAAGCTGATCTGCAGTGTCTGAGAGATTCCCCTGGCCATACCACTGGGAAATGATGGCACCAGTATTGACTCATGCTTTCCAATACCACACCCTGAATTCTATCCACCTGGTCATCAGCCTCATTTGTGACAAAGTACATGTTCCCTGCATTTTCATTTCCTCCAAACAATACAGTATTTCACTTTTCCAGAGAGATAGCTTTGATTCCTTTAATGTTTCCTAATATTCATTGGTTTGAGTCAATTTAACATTCTGGTTTCCCCCACTATTGTCCCCTTCTATTTATCAGTGCCCAGACTTATAATCTCAATACCTGCTGGATAGATTACACTATATTTAGCAGCTTTATTGTTCTGGGTGTACCTTTCTTAAATTAAATAAAATTTGGTCAATTTGGGGAAGAAAACAAAAATAAATTTTTGGCACTTTTTTTTTAAACAGCCATTTTTAAAAAAGTCATGTTCTACTATTAAGTCATGTGCCCCACTTAATGTACATTTTCCATTGGTTTCTGTGCTGTAAGTACTGACTTTGCATCTCTCTCTGCTAAATTCCCTGCTAAATGTAGCCAACTGTCCCAGGCTATTAAAATCTCCTATAATCCAATTGATTCAGGCCTCTCCCAGATTCATATCTTCACTCTATCAGTGCCCACATCCAATGAGCTAATGCAAAAGTTGAACAAGGCCCCTTTTTCCCGATATCATTTGGATAAAGGAGAATTGAGTTATACATGTCACAATTGATTATGTGTGATCACAACGGATACAATATGATGTGCTCAAAAGACAGCTGGGAGCTTTACCCTGTTTTCTGAAAACCAGCATTTCTTTTTTTTTTTAGCCACTCACAGCCTCATTTTCCAAACTATATAAAACAAAAGGGTCAGAACCAGGTGACTTCTGAGATTCTATTCATGCCTGATACCCCAATGCTCTCTAATGAATGACCATCAGAAATCTTAAAAGGTATTTTGGAAATGTACCTTAATTGATTTTATTATTTTATTTGTGTAAATTTATTTATTTTAACTTAATTTTTTAACATAAAATGGAAAGCAACAGGAATTAACAAATGCTGATAATTGGTCATAGGGCAGTATTGCCATGAAAGGTAGGAGGTAAAGTTACCAACCAAAGGAAATGTTTATACAGCTGAGAAATGGAAATTATTTTCTGATCAGGTTCATTTATAAATAGATGCACAAAACTGCATCTAATGAAGAATATTTGAAAGGTTAATATTTAAGTTATTAAAAAAAATCAATGGACTTCTTTCTTATCAGAGTTACCACTATCCATGCAATGATGTTAATTTTCCCATTTTCCCTGTTCTTAGAGTGATTTGATTTTCTTATGAGAATAGATGCTTATGAGAAGAAATAAATATCTTTGTAACTGTTATTTCTCTATTACTGTTATGTTGAATTGTGAATTCAAAAGAATTAGAACCAGAACTTCATTTCAATCGGACATACTGTACACAAACCACAACAGTGGGGAAATACATATTAATGCTATTTTTATCTGTGCACACAAATTCTGAGATGCACTGAAATTGCCGACTGGAAACAAAAGGAACAAAGAGGGGAGAGTGCCTCTGAGAAAGCCTTTCACTCATGCTTTCTCATCCTTACATAAGCTTAATAAGAACAATATCTCATTGTTGTGTAAACTAACTGTGTTTTCATAGTTATTATTTATCTGTTCACCACCAAACTCCAGGTTGGTCTTATGTGCCTGGCTTTACAGATGAGAAAAGTAAGCTTCTGAGAAAAGAAAGGATTTACCTGGAGTCAGGTAATAAGATCAGGAACTGAACTCTGGTGGACAGCCTTAAAGTCTGGTGATCTTGCTACTAGCTTATAGCTATCGCCTCACCTACTATCATCTAAACAGCACCGGTTATGAAAAGCAGAGATTTCTGCCAACCAAAACACTTAATCAGTTATATTTTTGTCCATGACTACATTGTATGTCACATAAGAACATGTGTTACCACCTATTTGTTTGAGCACAGAGCACAGCTTTGAGCTTCAAGTTCTTTATCTAACATAATAGCTGGATAATTTTCTTGGTAGGGTGAAACTCAGTGTAGGGAATGAGAAGGTGGTAGTGTTGTGGAAAATCTACCCACACGCGGGGAGATAATGAAGCACAAACTTTATTACCTGGGGGCCCAGAAGGGGTGGTTAACATCCAAATCCTCTGAGCACTGATCCTCACTCTCCTGGGGTTTAAATAGTCCCGGGCTTCCTACCTACATGGTGAAGCAAGGTTACAGAAGCCAAATGCGGAAGTTAGGTCCAGCTACCTTATATGGGAGACAAAGAGAAAACGCAGGAGGAATTTGCAGAAGCTAAAGAGCACAGGAGCTTATCATGGGAGTCTGTGTATGACCTTGAGTAACTGGCCGTTGCTTTGGTTAGGACTTGTCAGCTTCTACAGTCCTGTGTGAAATTTTGCAAGTGTTACAGTTACAGAGCATAAGAAACTTTTGGAGTTTTCTTTTCCTGCCACATTAGCAGTTGAAGAGAGGTGCTTTCTGCTTTCCTGTTCTTTGCATCTTTGGGTCTGCTTTACCTATAAAGTGAAAGGGCTGGAATGGTGTCATTTGTTCATTCATTCACTCATATAAGACATATTTATTGTGTATTTCTTCTAGTCTGAGCACTGTCGTAGCTGATTTTCTTGGCACAGAAAAAATGCCTAGGTTGCAGAGGGCAAAGAGAGAAGATAATGAAATAAGAGTAATTAATTTTATGGTTATTGGAAACCTCTGATTTATGCCTCTGTATCCATTTGCTTAGTTGGGGATGGAAATGGCTTGCCGTCAGACTTTCCTCCCTATTAATGTCCATTTCCTTACCATCATCAACCACAAAGCAATATTGACATCAAATATCCACTGAGACATCACTTGCCTTGTTACTTCTAGTAATCAAGCTTTTGATTTAGCCCAACAGGGTGTCCTAAGCAATTTCCATGTGCTGAACTAACATGGTATACAGAGAAGACACAAAATGTTTTTAAAACATAGTGCAACTGTAAAATATTTCTTGTCTTATACATGAATTAGGTATATGAGGTCTCTACAGAAAAAGCCCAGTCATTGTTAAGAAAACAAGAGTGATTTATAGAACATTGATGTAACCTGGCAGCCAAGAAGAGTGGACTGGAATGCATATGAGTGAACAATGATGGCTTCACTGTACTAGTCAATGGGGGTGGTAGATGCCATTGAGTGTGCATGTGTACTGTGTGGCCCTCACATTCAAAATGACTGAGCAAGTAGAACAATGAATTTGCATCAAATTTTACATTAAGTTTGACCTCTGAAGAAATTATTCAGATGATTCAGAAGGCTTTCAGGGACAATGCAATGAGGGCAGCACAGATAAAATTATGGCATAAATGCCTCAAAGATGGTCAAGAATCTGTTCAAAGTGATCCACATTCTGGAAGTCAGGCAACAAGCCAAACACCTGAGAATGTTGAACATGTATGGGCTGCAATCAACAAAGTGTGGCTACCCAAGTGATTCAGCCCCCTACAGTCCATCTTTGGCACCCTGTAACTTCTGGCTTTTCCCAAAACTAAAATCACCTTTGAAAGAGAAGAGATTTCAGACCATTGGTGAGATTTAAGAAAATAACAATGGGGCAGCTGATGGAGATTCCAACAAAGGATTTTGCAGAGTGTTTTGAACAGTAGAAGAGATGGTGAGAGAACCATGTGAAGTTCCAAGGTGCCTACTTTGAAGAGGACTGAAGCATCATCATCCTTTGTACAATGTTTCTTGTATCTTCTCTAATTAATGTTCCTATTTTTAATAATGTGTGGCTGGATACTTTATGGACAGGTGTTGTACCTATAAATAAGGTACATTAATTAACATAAATTCATTCCATGCTGTAAGAAAACAAATGAGAGCAGTACTGATTCTGCCAGCAGAGAAGCAAGTGGGAAATCTGAAGACCGTTTGAGCTGGCTTCTGAACAAGCAGGCAGTCACTCGGCAGACAAAGGGGAGAACACATGAGACAGAGTATGCACAGGGCCCAGGCACAGAGATCAAGAAGAGTCTCTTGTGATGGAGCTAAGATAGACCACTTGCAAAGAATGAGTAACTGGAATGTTATGGTGACCCAGCCCGTCTGGATCCCTGTAGGCCTGCACATCAGATGAAAGCAATACAGCTTTTATTCCACAGGCAACAAGGAGCCATTTGAATGTGGTGAGTGAGTAGAAATAGGGTGTAGGATGAGTGAAAGTCACAGACATATCCAAGGTTTCCAGCTTAGGCAGCCGGGGGAATGATCACATGGCTCTGATGAAAGAAATAAGAAAGACGTGATAAGCAGCAGTCTGCAGTGTAGGGTTGAGGTTGAGGGAAAAGAAATGATTTCTGTCTTGGACATGAATTCATAAAGACAAACAATTCATGAATATAGCAACTGAAATAAAAATGTTTCTCATTAGAGGCCATTTGTATAGGAAAGATAATTAGTCCTTTGTGTACATTCCATAAATATTGGACCTTGTCTTAATGGTGAACAGTAAAAGCATTCTCTGGAAATAATATTGTAACTTTTAATAACTGGCTGCTTCAAATTTGCTGTGTACATCAT